ATTTTAAAGAACACACTTTACACAAAATAATAAAATGAAGAAGCCAGAAACAAGGTACAGACTGAAGGTGATCACTACAGAAAGGATGTCCAGAAATTGCTCACAGAGCTGTTCTACTAACTTATGGAATCAATTTGAAAAGTAAGGTCTTCAAAGCCCCACCTAAATCCAACACTGAAGAGACAAGATTTAGGTCAATGAGTACCAAAAATCTGGGGCCCCACTGAAAACACCCTGTTTCTAATGCAAGTCATAATTTTTGTTCTTAGCAGCAGGCACATGAAAAGGAATGCCAACATAGCTCCTAGCCGGTTGCTCAGTTCAGGGCCAGCCCAAAAATGTTGCTGCCTGAGCTCATTCTCCCTCATGCCAAACTGGGCGGATGGGCATCAAAATGGTAAATGCAGTTCAACACAATCAAGTGTAAAGTGTCGTACTTGGGGCTAAAAAATCCCAACTTATTCTTGGGAAATTTATACTACACTTGATAAATTCTGAGGTAGCAGTAACTGACCAAGAGGATCTCGGGTTGGTGGTGGACAGCTTGATGGAATTGTTGGCCCTGTGCATGACTGTTGTGAAAAAGACAAACTCTGTGTTGAGCATAATTAGGAAAGACTTTGGAAATGAAACTGCCAGTGTGACACTCGCCTTTTGCAAATCTTTGGTGCAGAATATTGTGTCAAGTTCTGGCCACCAGGCCTAAAAATGGCTATTGTAAAAGCACAAAACTGGCAAAACTAATGGATCGAGCGGTTGAAGCAACTCCCCTATAAAGAGAGCTTACAACAGCTGAGATTCTTTATCTTAGGAAAAAAAGCTGAGTAAGGGGAAACATGACAGAGGTGGAAAGAATTATGCATGCTGTGGAGAAAGTAGAGACGTTTTCCCCCATAATGCCTGAACCCAGGATCACCTGATGAAGCTGACTGGTAGAAGATTCAGGGCAGATGAAAGGAAACGTTCTTTGCACATGGCGTAAGCTGCAGGAGTCGCTTCTGCAAGCCAATCTGGATGACTTTAAAGGGACAAATTAATGGAGAAAAGGGTAATTAATGGCTACTCGTCCTGATGGCTATATGCCACCTCCAGGAGCAAAGGCAGTAGGCTTATTACACCAGTAGTTCAGGAATCTGTGCAGGAGGGTATGGCTGCGCACATGTCCTGCTTGTAGGATCCCGTGTGCAGCTGGCGTGAACAGAATGCTGGACAAGGTGGGCCCTTGGCTCTTCTTACCCATCCCAGATCCAGACACCCATTTGGTAGTTGCACAGCCTCCCTGGAACAACTGGGTGGAGAAAAGATGTACATCTGTGGGCCATCAGAGTACTGACAGCACCGAATCCTGAAGCTCCAAATGACTGCTGTGCATAGCTTCATAAGATGTTAAGGAGCACTCCGGAAAAGACGAATCTTGTTGTACCTCACAAGCCAAAGGCCAAGGGAAGGAAGAGAAATCATCACATCCCATCTGCTGAAACCAACTGTCTATGAAGAGCTGAAAGCACTGCAGTCCCGAGCTTCCTAAGCCCAGATCAGGTCATCAGGGCAGGAAAACAACATGGCTGGTGACAACAGGGCCAAAAGGTTGCCTCTGGCATAAGGCATCCATCAAGGCTGTTTTCATTCCGAATCCAAGATCTATTACTTGCAGATGGGACATTCTGATCACCAATGAACTGGCCAAGATAGCTCAACGATATGCAAAGCTTTGATTGCACTGCCAGAGCTAACCGGTAAGTTCTAGAGCAAAACAGACATATCCCACATCTCTTATACAGGATCGTTCTGAAGCCACTTCAGCATAGCCATGCGCACTATAGGGACAGCGCTCCCAAGTATTTGCAAGTGGTTACTCAAGAAGTCGCTTTTTAATTGATCAAAAAACCCAGCACAGCACACACGCAAGGATGCAAGTAAGTATTCATTCACTAGGTTGCTCAATAAAAGGCTTGTTGAGAATTTTGGTTCCAACCCAACAGTCCTCTCTAGAATAGGCTCAGTGTTTAAACGTCTGCAGTAAGATCTGCCTCGATTCAAACCTCCTCTGCAATGGAAAGAAAAGCAATTTTGTGAAATATTCACACTTCAGCAAAGGGCTGAGAAAACTTCGTGTTTGATTGTTATTAATGTATAACTTTTGACATGCAATTCTGCCTTGATTGTTTCAAACAAGTATTTTTATGATGGTCATAATAGAAGTGACCTGTTTTTAGGAATAGGGTTTAATATTTTACAACAAATTATCCAAAAGGTCTTTAAAAACAGGAAGGTCAGAGTTTAACTTATCTAAATCACTCCTTGACCACAGTGGTGTAAAATATCTAAAGTAATTCAACTCAAGTTGGAAGGTTTTACTCGCTGGAAGAAAATGATAACCAAATCTAATGCTACCAAGTCACATCTCCCCTTCAAGGAAGAAAAAAAGTGGTTTTTTAAAATAAGGTAACAGTAAAGAGATAAAACCTCCTCTGTTTCAAGACATTTCAATTTCTTATTTCAAACTGTTCAAAAAGAATTTAAATGAGCTGATTGGTTTTTTTAAATGCTAATATAATTTTCCATACTCTTCTGTGGTAGGATTGCTCTTGTAATACAAACAATGGCCCACAGCCAGCCCTTTATAATCTCTAAGATCTCATGTATTGGAAGTAGTGGTCATGAGTGCACCATTTTTTTTCCCATTGCACAGAGTCCTGAAACTAAAAGATAAAAAGGTTGTCCTACTGCAGAGGACAACTCTGATCTGCGCACAAAGATATTTTAGTATGCCAAGGGGGCGCTAATCAACTCTTGGCTAAAGCAACATAGTGCTTGTGCATGCAACCTTTAATGCTTCTTTCCTGGACTCTCTGAAAGCTCCAAACCTTGACTTTAATTTAAAAATTAAAGCATGTTTTTACTCCCCTTGGTTTCTAATCTTGAAATCCCCTTGAAAATGCTCTTTCGGAGGATTCTAACTGTTCAGAAGGGATATACAACATTTCCTAAAGTATGGTACAATATAACTAACAAATTCAAAGCCCACTGCAGGATTTGTGAAAGGCAGCTTCAATTTCTTGTGCCTCAATTTAAGAATTTCAGAATAAGTGTGAAGTATTGCAGATCTGTTGAGTGTGGCTCAACAGTGTTTCCTGTTTGCAAGATATGTGCAAATTATCACACTCACATCTGTAACTGGAAATAAACAATTGTGACACATGTTTATTAGTCAAAGATCAAATGTGACATTTTAAAATGGAATTTTAAAATTAAACACAGTTCTCCAACTCATTCCATTAATTTTTGTCCTCATGCTGTTTTTCCATGAGGTTTGCCATAAAATGTCACATATTATCCAGCATGGGCCAGGAAAGTATCAGCATGGTAACGTGAGCTCTGCTAACCTGCCTCAGTCGCTACAAGTGCAAAGTCCACCTTTATCACGCGAAAGATTCCAGCGGCATAATGAACAAGTTGTTGCTATATTGCCACAAGGACTCCCTTTTAGCAAGTTGGTGCAAAACCCAGCCATTGACCTGGATGGAGAGAGAGAGAGCTGGATTTTCCGTGTACTTTGAAATTCTTTCTCCAATATATACAGTGGAGCCCTGTGTGCTGGATTCAGAAATGATTACACAGCCCTGCTCCAAAGAAATATTGAGCTGCTGCTACAAACACTTCACCATGAAGACTAAAGACCTGGAGGGTTTGGACAGTTTGTTGGCAATTATAGCCAAGTGCCTGACCTGAGCTTTGGAAGCTAGCTAATCACACAGAAGCTCTTCTGTAGAGCAATTTGGATCCACAGCGTCAAAGCAAAGGCTACGGTCCCAGGTACACTTATTTGCAAGCAAGTCCCACTGAGCCCAGTGAAGTTTAGTTCTAAGCAAACATGCCTGGGGTTGCACATGCCTTACTTCTCAGCAAACATGCCTGGGGTTGCACTTTTTCCAATACCTGTTCTACATCTGAAGAAAAAAAGGGGGGTTGTTGAGCCCCTGAAGAGGGCTTGGCACAAAATAAAGGTTTGGCAGTCATCCTTGAACTGAGATCAGTTCAAAATAATCCTCAATCATGTTTTTTAATACCTGCGTACATGCTCTTCCAGAAACCTTTTCAGAAGTTACAGAAGAGAATCAGAGCCATGAAGACATTGCAAGATGCAGAGGCTGAACACATCCTAGTCTCCCACAACCCTGAGAGCTCCACCTTTCAAGTTACAAAAGGACTGTCTCACTTCTCAATCAGAAGGAGTTGCTGTTGGGGACTTCAACCCAACCACATCTGAAGGGCCACATGCCACCCATTCTTCTGTAGGGAAAGGGGATCTAACCACTTCCTTATATACCAGATGTCAAAGTGTGACCTTGTACATGTTATCTCAGAAACAAGTCCCACTGTACGGCTGAAGTTTTACACCCAAGTGATTTGCCTCCAGAATTAAAAGTTCATTGCCTCCGGACAATAGGAAAGGTGGTCTGAGAGTCTATATAAGGGCAGGGAAGTCGCTGAAAATGGACCATGGAAAAATGCATGACATGTCTTTGGGGAGCTGGCAACCTGTTTGCAAGAAATACAACAAAATAATACAGGAGATGGCCCTACTCTTTGAAGGTGCAAAGCTCACACATTCAAAATCCACCTTTGTTACTACTTAAAATAGCTTAACTGTCCTCCCATATCACAACCTGTCCTTTCACTTTCCACGTGTGATTACAGGTGCTCAGATCTTCGCAATTGTCAGTGTTTGGAAAACGGGTGGTAATTATTCCAGATTAAATATGCCAGGCGGCAGAGCACAAGCCTTGTGCAAGCGTTGTTCTGGTTACTCATAGTTTGGATGCAAAAGGAGGAGGGGGAGGAAGGAAAGCGACCATGCCACGACTGATTTAAAAGCTGGAGGAAAAAAGAGCTAGCCAAGAGCCCGTGTTGGGGTGAGGACCGCTTCCCTCCCCGAGCCCGGACTGGGAAAGGAGGCGAGGCACCTCGTCCGGGGCCTCGCAGCCGCCCGTCCTTACCCCTGCCATAGGCGAAGTGCAGGCGAAGCGCCTTGCCTTGGCGCACCAGGCTGATGTGCAGGTAGGTGAACCACACGGCGAAGGTGAGCAGCACCAGCAGCAGCAGCAGCTTGAACTGCTTCCGGATCTTCTTCACCGGGAACCACAGCATCCTCCAGGCAGCATTCCCGGGGGGTCAGCCTGCCCCCGGGGGGTGAGCGATGGGCACCCTACAACAGGAAGCAGGAGGCGGCGGGCTCGAGGAGGCAGTCCGCTCCTAATCCGGCCGCCGACTCGGCCCTTCGCAGCTGCTCATCTCGTCCCCAGCGCCGCTCGCACCGGAGCTACGCCCTCTCCCCGCCGGTCGGCCGGCCGCGCGTCCTCCGTCACCTGCCGCGGCGGCAACTTTGGCGTCTCCGGGCTGGCGCGCAAACTTCGCTCCGGCGCTGTCCGGCAGGGCGCGAGAACTGAGGAGGAGGGCACCGTTCGGTCCCCGCCGAGGATGCGCGGGAGGGAGGGAGGGGGCTGCTAGCGCTCGCTCCTGGACGGAGCCCGGCCGCTTCCCGCCAGCTCTCGGAGGGGAGGGATAAAGGCATCCAGGCAGCGGCGGGGAAGCATCTGGGAGACTCCCGGCGACTGCGAGGGAAAGCAGCGGCGGGGGGCGGGGAGGGGCTGACGGCTGCCTCGCTCCCTCGCCGACACCTCCCTTTCCCTCCGGGTTCTGCGCGCTGCAAAGCAGCCCGGAATGCCCTCTCCGCAACAACGATAATCCGTCCTCGGCGAGCAATGAATGGAAGGAGCGGAGCAGCCCGGACTTTCTCCCCCTCCTCCACGTACTGGCTTTGTGGGCTGCTATTGCATTACTCTGGCTGCTTGGCCCGCACTTCACATTGTCCGCCTCATGCTTGCAAAGCCCAAGTCGCTGCTGCTGCTGCTGCTACGCCCGTCCTGCGCGCGAGGTTTGCAGCGATGCTTCGGCAGCACCATCGCCTCTTCGCCCGCCGCTGCTCTGCCTTGGTTCACAGAGAGCAGCATCCCCACGCTGCGATGCAACCGAACCTGAAACGGGGCAGCCGGATCGACAGCCCCACAGAACCCAATCGGAGCGCAGGATTGCTCCATCCGCCCAATCGCCAAGCTCAGGAGGCGGCAACGAAGGCGAAGTTCGGCTGTGAGCGGCGTTCATCTCCACGCCAACGTGCAAACATCCACCTGGGGAGCGGGTCCAGTGACTGCCTTGGCAAAGGGGGGTGGAACCCAAGCGGGGTGTTCTTCCACCGACTACAAAGCTTATAGGCCCTGGCTGTGGCTCGTGGAAGCGAAATCTGGTTTCAGTGGCTGCGGAAAGGCAACTCTCACGTTTCCTACCTATTGTGGGTTGCTTCTTTGTAAAGCTAGTTGTAATGGTATTGGAACTCCCCCCTTCATTGGGGATGGTTCCGTCCCCACAGATGCAAGCTGATACTCCACAGAGGAGGCAGCAAGGATGCTCTAAGATGGGCATGGCTGAGGGATGCTGCCTTGCTCTGAGGCGGCCACAGGTAGAATTGCACAGGCGTGCTCACTTGTGGCAGGGAGCTGGCAATTTAAATCTCCTACATTTTTTACAAACAGTAGCAAGTCCAAATGTATGTGGGCATCCACTGTTTTCTCTCTCATTATTGTACGCTGCAGTGAACTAGAGAGCCTGCCCTTCCTCCTTCTCTCGGGCCAAACTTTGGTGAAACTCAGTGGGAAATAAGCATGATTTAGAAGGGTGTGACCAGATGAAAGTGCTTGTTACTTAAGAGGAATGGCTTTGCTAATGCCCTGTATAAATCCACTTCCAGCATATAGATCAATCAAATTCAAGTTGTTGCCCTGTAAGCTTGCATTTCGGGGGGGCGGGGGGTGTTTAGAACGTGCTTTGGATGCGCAAAGAGGTTAAGTATATTTGTACTTGGGAGCACTGCTGGGTTTCAGGGGATCCTGGGAAAGGTCCACCCCACCCCCTGCCACTGTAATTTTTTCCCTCCCTGCATACCTTTGCCACTGATCTGCCTGTTGCAGAAAGCTCAGTAAAACTGCCACTTCCAGACTTGTGGCTGGATTTCAAAGTGCAGTATGTTCCTTTGCCATTTAATCCCATTTTGTTTATCTACCACTTAGCAGCAGAGGCAGGTGGCCAGAGAGGGGCTGAGGCACCCAAGGATGGAAGCAGCTTTGCCTCTGTGACAGAGCACATTTCTTGCACCCAGAAGGGCTGAGATTTAATCCCCAGCACTTCTAAGAAGAGTTGGAAAATTTTCTGCCAGAAACTCTGGAGAGCTGCTTCTAGTCACTCCCGGCAATTCTGGGCTAGTGAGCTGCCTCCTTGTAAGGCTGTTTCCTGTGTTCTCCACACTCCAGACACAAAGTAGTACCATGGTTCTGAACAGGAATCCAAGCAGTCCCATGTGCTTTTCTCTGCTGCAAGGATGGCTGCTTCCTTTTATATCACTCACAGCCTCACTACCGCTTAGATGCTGCTTTATTTTATTCTGCCTAATGATACCTACTAAGGGATAACAGCTCTCAAAAGAGTGGAATCCTTTGCAGGAGAAAAGCCTCATTTGAACTCCCTTATCCATACGGGATAAGTTTTCTCTGGAGCAGAGACAAAGGAAGGCAAAGGACAAGGAGAATTGCATTGAGTTCAAGGGGGGAAGCATAAAATTCTGGAGTGTCAAGGCCCTGAAGGGTCTGAGCTGTGTGTGGACACCACTGATGTCCTTTAAACCTTTTCCTGACCCATGAACTACTCATGCATCCATTCCTTTGCTTCTGTCCCTTTTTTTGTGTTTGATTTTTTAAAGCTTTAATTTATCTGTAACAAAAGTTTCATTCTGTCCTATCATGGAGTATTTCCAGATAAAGATCTGGGAACTTTTCTGCTCTTTGATATTAAACACACTTTCCCTTCAATAACTGATTTTGTTTTCTGATTTTTCACTTATCAAAATAAATTTCTTTCCCTTTCTACTTAAGATTGTAGTCCTATGCACAATTACTTGGTAGTAAACCCCATTGTAAACTGGGTAGTAAACTGAGAAAGACTTGTTGTTTTGACCAAACATTTATAGCAGGAGCCCCCAGTGCAATGTCCCCAAACTATTCACTCTTTTTTTTCGAGAATAAGCGTGTTTGGATGGAACAAGCCTCTGAGAGCTTTATGCTCATAAATCTTACTTCTCCTCTCATCCTCCACCCTAGCTACAAAGAGTCAAACATCTGCTTCTGTTTTTCCTTAACCACAGCTTGTTGTATTGTCTGAACCAAACAAACTGTGTTTGACCTCAAATACTGTTACTTTCAAACAAATGAATTCCAAACCATAGTTGATGGTGCTGGCTTTTTATTAAAACAATAGCAAATAAATAAATAAAAAGGAAAGTATTGAGGCGCCAGGTTCTCCTTCTGGTTTCTGAACCTCCTGATACTCACAGGAAGGGAGAGCAAACAAGGCAACAGCAAGGCAAAGAGGTGGGGTGGGGTGAAAGGACAAGTCTAAAGACTAAGTGGAGAAATGGCAACTAAAGGTGTGAGTGGGAGTGAAAGCACAATGCTAGGGGCTAAAAAGAGAATGAAGATGGAAAAAGAATGAAAAAAGAAGATGGGCAGGAGTGTGAAAAGGAGAGAAAAAGCCAGACTAGAGCGTGGGGGTGAAAACAGCAGGATAAAAAAGTGAGTAGGAACAAACAAGCAGGGCCAGGGTTAAACTGAGAGTGAAAGAGGAAGTCTAGAGACCAGGAAAGAAGAAGACTAGAAGGAGGGGGAGAGATGGTAAGGAAAGCGGTTCAGGGAGAGATCTTGTGAGACTCAAAGCTGCAGGTGGAGGAGGCCGAGAGAGAGCGGGAGAGCATACAAAGCAGGCAGGCTGTGTGGATGGAAGAAAATTGGATGAGGCAGGAAGCAATTCTCCAGGAGAGTTTTCCCTCCTTCTGAGGTGCTCATCTCTCTCTTTCTCCCCTTCCAACTGATAGGTGTGAAAGGATGATTTGAAACAAGGGAGTAAAGAGATTTTAAAAGGTAACAAAGAAAATTACTTAGCGCAAAGGAGGGGAGGGGCCAAAATCAGATAGCACAAGTAGGCAGGAGGGCCAAATACTTCCTGATTGTTTATTGACAAGCTGGGCAGAACAAAATGAGCCTACTGTAGCCCTCCGGGGGCAGGGCCAGATTGGGGCAGCGCGGAGTAGGCAGACAGAAAGAGTGTAAACTCTCAGCACCCTATTAGCCAATTAGGGGAAAGGAGGCGGGAACAAGCGGCCAGGAACAGGGTTCAAAAGGGGTGTGTGAACATGCGCTCAGGTGAACAGAAAAATGGGAAGGAAACCATTCTTTTCTGTTCTCTTCATTGCAATAAAGTTTTAAAAAGAACTCTCTGCAAGCCTGGAATATTTTTCTCTTCCGACGGAAAGGAAAGAGTGATCCTAACACAACCTCTCGACCAGTCAGCCTGCCATGGCAGACACTGTATGATTAGCCACATCCTCCATGGGAACAACTTTGTGCTGGTGTCCACAGCAGTTTTTCCCATTGCCAGATTCCCACAGATCCAAAGTGGTTGGAGAACCCTGGATTTTGCAGTAATAGCACAAGGTTTATCTATTAGCATACTTAAAGTTCATTCATATTTTAACAGCATACCCATAGCACCCTCTGAGTCTAGTTAGATATAAAATGTTATGAAGCAGAAGAGCTGTTCCAGGTCCTTAATGATGTAAAAAGAATATCTGTTCATTTACTGATTGGTTGTCTGTTCACTTGTTTTCATTTGAGAAAATAGTAATGATCTACCAAATCCTTCTCCCAGAAATCTCATAAAACCTTCTGACTTCTCTAGTAAGAAGCAGTGCATCTGCTATCCTTTTGCCTGAGAAGAACCATGCCAGATTAAGGCATGCTTGAATAGGCTGACAATGGGGTTTAGAAAGGAAATGTTGCCTCATTGATGAGACTATACTAAACTGATGAAAAGATGAAGAAGAAGGCAGTTTGTTTGTGTTAACAATGACACTACATTCCATATATTGCATATAATATGTTTTATCCAGGCTTTCCATCTAAAGTACAATTCAGCTTATTTGAAATTGCATTGTACAAATAGTTGGAATTAGGCATGCTTTCCCTTCAGACCATAATGGCATTTCC